CAGTGTGAATATACTGAGGGACCTCCTGTGTTTACTTTGGTGTCATCTCTCATGGAAACCTAATACTAGGGGGCTAAACCAGAGAGTGTAAGTAATTCAGAAAGTTCCATTAGGACCTGTGGCTGCAGACTTGGTTTTTTTCTCCAGAAAATCTTTGCTCAAGATAATATTAAGAGAACACAGTGGGCTTGTGTCCAGTTTATTACACTTACTTCCTAGTTATGAAGGAGGCCTTGTGGAGATGGCCAATAAAGTCCTGGGAGTTGGATGGAGAAACGGTGGCTCCAACTCAAGGTAAAATTGATTGTCAGCTTTGTATTAATTAAAGTTATATTCCAGGGAACCCTACCAGAAGGCACCTCTATAAAGAGATAATTCACTTCATGAGTAGTTGGCTAATCCCATAGTGTCATTAAAGCTTTTATGATTGCAAATTAAAATTTTATTAATGTACTGCTATTTAACATGTTTCATGATTTAAAAGCTGTAAAATCTTTTAATCTGTGATGCATTTTTTTACAAAGCCATCCACTTAATACTATATAATATGTAGTACTTGAGACCATCTATTAGCAACATTTGAAGACAATGATGTACTTTGTAAAGACATATACAGCAAATGAGGCACAAAACATGAAATATGCAGACCATGTTTGTGATAGAGATAACCCATGTATTTTAATTTTGAAAATGGTGTGATTTGAAACCTGACAAGGAGGCTTTCCAAATTGAGGCCCTTTTCTAGTTTCAGGCAGATTTTTTAGGAGATAATTTTAGGAGCTGGGGAAATGGCTCAGTATGAAAATGTGTTTGGAGTACAAGCATGAGAACCTGAGTTCAAATTCCCAGTGCTGACGTATGGCCATGCACAGGCCTGTGCTGTGGGAGGAGACAGAAGGATTGCTGAAGCTTGCTGGCATCTAGTCTCTACTACGTTCAGCCAGAAGCCCTGTCTCATGGGAATGAGGTATAAAGTGACAGAGCAGGACACAGTGTCCTCTGGCCTCTTGCACATAATATGGGATAGTATAACTGTGCACACAAGTGTGAAAATGCCACTTAACGTATCTGATTTGAAGTAAAAATGTTGGCATCAATACGAACTAGAATTATGCTTCTAAGAGTTTGTGCTTCAGTGATAGGTTTCAGAATAGTCTTCAGTCCCATGGTGACCACAAGAAAGTCACTGCTATGAAGCCAAGAGGGAGGCTATGGTGAGGGTTCATTGTGAATGTCCTGGGTCATCTTTGGGGACAAAGCACCATGTGTCTGTCCTTTGTGGTCTTGAAAATGCTGACCTGAGTACTATGACTCACTGTGGAATCGATTATGGACCTCAATGGTACTTTAGTCCTGTTGTAAGCAGTCACTATGAGTTTATGTCTTTCCTTTAAACTAAGAGAAAATCAAGCAAAATTAGTACCATGGGTGAGTTCTCAGAATAATCTTATGAAAAACTAATATCGCTCTTTCTCTCTTAATGTCTATGTGTGTATCCATATGTTCATATGTGAGTGGGTCAAGACCAGAGGTTGACATTAGGAGTCTTCCCCAATTCCCTTCCACCCTATATTTTGAGACATGGTCTCCCAGTGATCTTGGAGCTCACCGGTTCAGCTATACCAGTTTGCTGGCAGCCCTCAGAGATCTTCCTGTGTTTGCTGCCTCAGTGTTAGGTACAGTTACTGGTTTTTTTTTTAACTCTGACTCTTTTGTCTTTCTACTCTTTGGGGCCTGCCACCCAACTCCCAAATAAATCACCCAGGAGATTTTTTTCTTACTTAAAAATGCCCCCACCTTAGCTTAGCTTATTTCTAGCCAGATTTTCTTAATTGAAATTATCCCACCTCTCTTTTGCGTTTGGGCTTCTTTCTTCTTACTCCATTGCTGGGGCTGACCCCTGATGTCCTCCTCTCCTGCTTTTCTTTCTCCTTGGTCTTCTCCCAGATTTCCCTTCCTTTTTATTCTCTCTGCCTGCCAGCCATGCCTATCCTTTCTTCTGCCTAGCTGCTAGCTGTTCAGCTCTCTATTAGACCTATCAGGTGTTTTAGACAGGGAAAGTAACACAGCTTCACAAAGTTAAACAAGCGCAACATGAGAGAATGCCGCATGTCTTTGCATCATTAAACATATGTTCCACAGCATAAGCAAATGTAACGCATCTTAAAATAATATTCCACAACAGTTGGGATTATAGACACAGGTCATGTGCCCAGCTTTTTGAGATGGTGACTGGGGATTGAACTCATGCTTTTGTGACAAGCATGTTACCAACTGGAAATTGAAGTTTTCTCATTCGCGAGAGACACCTGGATTCACCCCTTCCAGCAGGAATAGTTCCAAGAAGCCCTGCCCCATCCACATGGGCTCTTTAGCTCAACTTGATGAGCTGTAACCTGTCAGGACAACCTCTTCCAGAATACAAACAGAATGGCATATGTGTGAGTCCAGTTTGGTCTCCACTAAACCACAAGAACTAGAGTTTCTATCACAGAATCACTTTTAGCACTGCCTTCCTGAATTCCTTTTTAAATATTTTAGATTATTTTATGTATGAGTGTTTTGCCCACATGTATGTAAACCACATGCATGCAGTGCCATGGAGGCTAGCAGGGGGCATAGGCTCTGGAACTGGAGTTATGGATGGCTGTGAGAACCATATGGATGCTGTGAACAGAATACAGGTTCTCTACAAGAGCAATAAATACTCTTAACCCCTGAGTCTTATCTCTGAACTGCTTTCAATCCCTGGAGGTAGAGAACAGCCTGGGCTCCATTAGGCCCTGGAGATCTACATAAGACCCCCAACTCAGAATGAACAAACAAGAAAAAAAGACGATGAAAGCAGAAAGAGGGCTTCTTTGCTGTCAGGTGGCATCCAGAACTTGGATCCTCTGCCCAAGGCATGCAATACTCTGTGCCAGGTTCTTTGCAGAGACATATGCCGATACCCTCTTGTTGGGAGGACCATGGTGAAGGGTCCTGTCCCTCCAGGGATCTCAGATGAATGGAATTCAGGACAGGACTTTCTTCTGCAATTATCTTTATGTATTGTGCAGCAACATTCTACAATTTATTTTCGTTACCAGATTGTTTCCCTTGCCTTGAATCTTAGCATCAAATTCAATGACTAATATGTGTCTGGGTGGCTATTAAGTATCTGCTTATAACAAAATAATTTGTGAGTTGAAACCAAGACATGGGTATAAATTTTAAAAACAAATAAACAAGATTCATGCATTCATAGACAAGCTGTGGAGTCTTGAAGTGCAGCTTCCCTCTGAAAAAGTCAGTATCTCCTAGGTAATTTATTTTTACCAGAAATATTTAATTTCAATATATCAAGAGAAAATTTTCAAATTTCAAACAAAACCAGAGTAAGGTGAATCCCATCTTCAAGAAAGTCTGTGAGGGGAGGCAAACAATAAATTATTAATAAAGTGTTCCAAATTAAAAACAGGCCGCAGAGACACACACATAAATGCATTGTGCAGATATCTCTGGATTTTGGATTTGAAGAGGTAATAGTTTTGGTGGATAGCTGAGAATTGAATATAAACTACTTAGTAAGTGAAATGAAGGGCCTAGGCCCTGCACTGGATGAAATGACAGTAACTGGAGATCTACTGTGGAGGACCTCACCCTCCCTGGGGATCAGAGTGGAGATTGGGTGGGGGACTGGGGGACCTGGTGGTGAGGGTGGGGGAGGAGGGGAGGGAGAGGGAGCTGGGATTGACATGTGAAAAAAACTTGTTTCTAACTTAAATTTAAAAAATATTAAAAAATTATAAAAAGAATGTCATTTCTACCATACTGTCATTTTAAAAAGTCATCTAGGATGTTCCTAGTTCAAGGTGAAGAGACAAACAGATAATTCTCAGGGAGTAACAGCATAAATGCACATGAAAGGGAGAATCATGAAGTGGACATGGGTTTTGCTATATTTTTAATAAAGTATTTATTTTCAAAAAGAAAAAAAATTCCCTAGGTATGTTCATATTTATGTAATGCAGTGACATTGTTCTTAGAAACAGGATGTATCATAGTATTCATCAGTGAAAATTGTTATGATGTGTGCAATTGATATTCAAATGGATCTAAAAACTAATTCGGAGCTCAAACAAAAAAGCAAAATGCCCTCCCTTTGCAATCATGGTAAAGAGAATTCATGAGGACAGAGGGTGTTTTTGTTCTAATTCTTCTGTAAGTTTAACATTTGCAAAATAAAGAAAGGAGAAAAGAGAAAATCTAATTTGGTCTTCACAGAGTCTTAAGGGTATCCAATGGATGCTTAAGGCAAACAAGATATAAAACACTGGTTCCCAATCTGTTGGTTGTGACCCCTTGGGGTCAAACAACCCTTTCACGGGGGCCACATTATCAGATACCCTACATATCAGATGTGTATGATTCATAACAGTGGCAAAATTACAGTTCCGCAGTAGCAATGAAAATAATTTTATGGTTGGGGGTCATCACAACATGAGGAACCGTATTAACGGGTCTCAGCATTAGGAAGGTTGAGAACCACTAATATCAAAGAAGAGAAAAACTCATTATGCTGGGCACCAGTCCCTTCTACTATCCCTCCTGACTTGGCATTTACTCCCATATTCTATCCAGCCAACAGGTTCATCTCTTCAGTGTTTCCTAGGCCTTGAGACTCCTGTCAGCGCCCACAGATCCTTCCCTCCCTCTCAGCTTCCATTTTTACCCTTCATCTGCCATAACCCCCTCTCTGCCTCCCCACACTGCTTCTTCATAAGTTCCCCCAGGGATTCCTTCCATCAGGGGCCCCAGATGACTTGTTTTGCTCGAACTTTGACCCTGGCCTCCAACTTTCACTCCACAGGTGTCTCTGCTCTCAGGTCTCAAGGTTCCCTCCCCCACCTAATTAAACCTAAGTGGTGCCACCTGGCCTTTTCCTTCCTTCTCCGTTCTCTTGGTCTCCTGTCATGGGTTTCTTGTCACTGTCTCTGCCTGCCCTCCTTTCTCTTAAGGTGCCCGTGGGTCCCCAGGTGTCCAGGATTCAGCTGTCACTGCAGTGGCTGATGGCCCTTGAAGCAAGCCGGAGGACCTCTCTGAGAAGGCCCCTGCTCCTGCAGGCGCTGGCTCTTCACAGATGCCCTGACAGGTAAGTGGATCCTCTCTGTCCCTCTCTGTTTAGGCTACTATCTTGCACAGCCTGAATGCCAAGGGGGGGGGTGCTCTTCCCACCCCATTCATTCCCAAGCTTTCTTTGACTCTTTGTAGTCTGACTTGGTTGATGTGGAAGCCAACTCCCGCCATTCTTCCATAACCCCAGGACCCGCCCAACAACCCACACAGATTGTCACTATGGGTCATGTGAGTTTTGTTCTCTGTTCAATCAAGTAGGAAAGAAAAGACTCAGGGGTCGTCTCTTGCCCAGCTTTCCCAGATAGAAACTCTGACCTGCCCAGTGAAACTGAATAGGAGACTAGTGACTCTGACCTCAAATATATTAGGAAGAAAGAGCTATCTGGCATAGGAAGTGTCCCAACACTCTAATTTTGTTCTGCAACATGGTAAAAAGTTGTCCCTTGATGTCTCGAGAAAACCAACGCCAGGGATTCCCCCCGTGTATCAGAATGTGCGGATACGTCTGTCCCTGGTATCCAAGCACTGGAGAAGTTTGCATACACAATCTCCAGACTTTGCTCATTGAAATCACCTCAGGGCACTTGTCATTGCCAGCTGTAACTGTTTCATGTATGGTTGCTTTCCTACGGTGTATAGGGGATAATGGCAAGAAAAAGACATCTAGACATGTCCAGTACAGACACAGAAACTTTTCAGTCCAAAGTTAGTTGAATTCATGGATCAGAGAAGTGGCGAAGGGGATGAACTGTCTCTACAGCTGATTACAGAGCATGACCCTTCCTCCAGTCAGGTCACTAGGACACATCCCCACTATCCTCCTCCTCTTAATCCCGAGTGTTCTCTGTACTTTTACAGGGTTTGAGAAGCAGAGATGAGATGAACAAAGTTGGAGAACGGCATATGTAAGTTTGATTCAACTACTAAGCTTATTTGCATCTATTTCCTCATTTGATAGAAAGAGGAAGTGTTGGGGGCTGTAAGAGTTGATGCTCTAAAGTTTCTCACGGCCCTAAAGCACGACAATTACAAAGTGCAGTGGTCTAGGGTTTCATAGTGTCCACCTGCATTGAAAAAAAAATACCCTTTGGGGCTGGAGATGTAGCTTACTTGGCGGAGTATTTTTGCATTCGATGCAAGAAGTTCTAGGCTCAGCCCCCAGCATTGCATGTACCCAGTGTGGTGGTGAGTCAAGAGGATCAGAAGTTGGAGCTCATTCTCAACTACATAATTAGATAGAAACCATCAGGATCACGATACCCTGCCTCAAAATAAATCAAAACCACCAACATTAAAAACAGGTGTTTCCATGTTTTGCAATTCTAGCAGCGTGGTTTTGAGCTGGGGAAAGCTGAGCTGAACCCAAGACTCCACTAGTGTCAAAAGAACTGGGTGAAAAAAATCAAAGGGCAGTAGCTGGCAGGACACCTGCAGAGCAGCGGCACCCAGAATCACCCCCCCATCACCTCTCTCCGGTGCCAACACCCCAGGACACCCTGCCCGCTGTCTGCTTTCTACAATGCAGAGCCACGTTGGGTTTCGTCACCTCTGCTAAGTGTTTGATGATGATACCTTTGATGTGAGTCTGGATCACCAAATCAAAGTGATGGTTTGTTTAATGTTTGTCACACATCCGGGTGAGCCTGAAGCCAACACAGAAGAGGAGGCACATTGAGAGAGGGATTTCTCTCTCTGGCCAATTAAGGTCATTCAAGGAATTTCCCAATTTAAATAGTTGCCCAAGCAGAGAATGACTGAGTCTCCCCAGCAACAGTTTGCTAAGAAGGCACATCAGATCATTGTGAATGGAATGGAAACGCACACATTAAAAAAAGTACAAGCCAGCAATTACTTGAACAATAACAGTTTACACAGAAGGCACACTTGAGACCTGGCGCTACTTGCTAATGTTAGTTAGAAGTGTATTTGCCCTTACTTTTTTACTATGGTTACCACACCAAGAGTAAATTTGAGAATTATAACCCCAATGAGGCACAAATACAATAGTAAGGCATGATTTTGAAACCACATCATTCTCTGACATTTTTAATTCCATGGCTGTTTATTTCCATAGGAGGGCATCGGTTTCCTCTCCATTTTCCAGGAGAGAAAGCCCTGGGTACAGTCCATCTCTGCCCATCCTCAGGAGTTATGGCTCACTGGATTGGCAGGATGGGAACCTTACATCTGAAGCACTTGGTCCCCCTTAGGGGGAGTATCTCTGCATTCTGGGATGTTTTTGGTGACAGTGTCAGTACAGTGGGTAAGCTCTGCTTGTGGAAGGGCTTTGTTAGTTGGATAGACCTTTAGATGACTGGGGGCCTGTACAGTTCCATCTAACTTAGGGTGAAGGCTGGAGAAGCCTACTTCCAATGCATGAAGCGTCAATACCCACTCATTTAATCCTTATCTTTAATAAAATAGATATTTTGCTTCAACCCAGGTGATCCTACATGCCTCCCAGGCTAGGATGAATGAGATGCTCTCAAATGTGGCTACAAAAGTTTCATAATAATAAGTAATCAGTATTGAATTCCAGGAAGCCCTGCTCATTCCATTCCTTTAAAAGGATACCATCTGTGGAAAAGGGCGCCACTGGGTCTCTGTCCTGGAAACATGCATTGCAGTCAACAGCAATTAATGTTATTAATTTTAAATGTGCACAGGATTCTTCAATGTCTTTAGTATTATTATGCATAACAAATATCACTACCTCTCTGTTATGAGTTTGGGGAAAGCTGTTTTAGTCCACTTTGTATTTCTGTCAGGCAGTGGGCTTTACCAGCTCACACAGAACAAATTTGATTGTGTCTGTATTTAAGCGTTCTTAAAAAGGGAAACAGGAGGGTTAGCTTCAATAAAAACAGGAGCAGCATTCTGAATGTGTTTAAACAAGTTTTCCCCACCAAAAGAAAATAGACCTATAGCATATCATTTTCAACTACACTGAGAGAAAAAAAAAGCCAAAGGTTCCCCTAAAGAATTTGGACCACGCTCAAGGCAAGTTCCAGCTGGATCCTATTATGGAGCTCAATCTTTTCTCACCAATGAGTCGGAAGACCATTTGCATCTATGAGGCTTCTCAGTAAATTCATTCAGTCAAAAGCAGTTCCCCATGCTTTGGCAACTATTAGATTACACATAATATACTTGTAATGTCAGCAGGGAAAAGAGGATGACACCCACTCAGGCCATCCTTCAGAGTGGCAGATATGCCCTCCCAGCCCCAGGCATGTCTTTGTGCAGATTGATGGGAGTTACTTTAGTGCACTCATGCTGACAAATTTACTTATCATTCATGATAATCACTCCTGCTGCTTCAGGGAGAAAATTTTTTTAAGTACCTAAGTATTGGAGGATTAATTATGGTGTGCTGAAAGGAAGAAATAACTTTTAGGGTGACAGGGGCAGTGTTTGTCAAGACTCTGGTCCAGATCTTATTTATCCTCTTACTAAATTAGAGTAACTTGCCTGTGTCCTTGGTATTCTTTGTCTCAAGCTGGAGTGGTGGTGTTTTCATTTAAAAAAATTGGTTAGAGAGATGTCTCAGTGGGTAGAGCGCTTGAGTTCAGTTCCCTAACACCCATGCAGAAAGCCATGCATGGCTGTGGGTATCTCCAACCCCAGCATTGAGGAGACAGAGGCAGGAACGTCTCTTATACCTGATGTCTAGTCAGCCTAACCAAAGTGGCAAGTTGCAGACCCAGTGAAGAGATGTGCAGAGGAATTGAGGAAGAGATATCGAGGCAGCCTGTGACTTCCACAGACCCACGTTCACGTGATCACGTACACATGCTTAAACCACACACATGCAGGAAAGAAAACCTGGAAGACTTGACTCTGCAAACTATGCTCTACATTTCTCTTTATATGGCTTTTGTTTCTGCACTTGACAAAATACCTTGCTAAAAACCATATCATCTATCCCCACTCAGGATCTGTATTCTAATGCTTAGAATGGCCAGTTGAATAAATAAAGGACTACAATGAAAAGAAAGGCAAACCCCTCCGTCCTTCCTTCCTCACCAATCTGTAGGTGGAAGCCAGAAGATTCAGTGGTGTGATCTTCCAAGCACCACTGGGAAGGAGCAGACATTGATTCTGCCTTTTCATGTAACAAGTCATTTATGCAGTGAGGAGATACTCGAAGTGCTTTGAAGATCTGAGGATGAACACAGCACATTCTTAAAATCTGGGGTTCCCAAGAAAATGATTGTGATAATCCAGGAGGTGTTAGGTTTGTAGAGTAAAAGCCAGGAGATGCCCAGTGTTGGTGGGGTTTAGGAGCAAAGGCACATTCTTGAGCACTGGGAACCTGGGCACACTGAATGCACTGTGATCAGCATAGCGAAATACCTTAGGGCTTGGCAACTGTGCCTTTCAAGATGTTTCCATAGGGATTCTCTGACAGTTTCCAAGAAGACTGTTACAGCGGAGTTCACTGCAACAGGGGTTTTCACGAGGGTGGGTGAAATGCTAAGTGCATGTATCATAAATGCTTTGTCCCACTTGAGAGTCACAGGACAGATAGACATACAGTTAGATGGACTGGTGAGAAGACATAAGTGTGACTCTTTCCCAGCATGGAACAGAGTAGCATCTATACGACAGCAATGCATATGTACATAAACAACAACATTGAACGAAACTCTGTATTTTCCTAGAACACACACACATTTAAAGATTAGCCATACAAGCCGTAGTGGTTGCATAGATTAGGAGTGAGCAAGGGTGGGCAAAAGTGAGGATATGAGAGGGTGGATAAACATGAGTTTGAGACCATGAAAAGAAGCCTTGCATGGAACAATAACAGTGTGTCAAGAACCAGACAGAGAAAATCCAAATCTCTATATTCAAATGTAACCCTTCCCTAAGTTTCTCTCTGTCTCTGTGTCTGTCTGTCTGTCTGTCTGTCTCTCTCTCTCACATACACACACACACACACACACACACACACACACACACACACACACACAAGTTTTCAAATCTTTTCCCCCTGGATTCTTACGAGGGGATCAGAGAGATTCATACTATCTGGTGAAAACTCATAATAAACACACTCAAGATGAGATGGCTCCCCAGAGTTTCTGTTCAGCAGGTCAGGTGAATACTCAGGCACCTTCCAAATAAATGGAATAGATGAAATGGATTTCCTCCACTTACTCCATCATCCCCACTCCTCATCCCTAGCTTTGCCTTTGTCAGAGTCCTGTCTGATCTTCATCATAATTGGTTGGCAGGTGGACAGCCCCTCAAAACAGGTGTGGATTACACTGATTTGGCCCCACACCTTCTTATGGAACACGCTCATGTTCAAAGTCACTTCTAGATGCTCATCAGACAACACTATGGTACTGTTGACTTTTTTAGGAAAGCAAAGAACCATTGAGGAAAGGAGACTTAAAGGTGTCAAATCCCCAGGGACAGTAGGAAGATGGGACAGCATTGCCCTATACAAGAAACAATCCAGAAGACTTCGGGAGAACTCTTTCCGAGAGATGAGTGGGCATGAATAGACAATGCCTATATTCCTCACAGCTTTCAGCAAATGATCTCAGTATCCCCAAAACAACTCCCACCTACCAGTAAGTGCTAAGAATAGCATTTCCAAAATGCATCTCAGAAGATTTGGCACAAAGACTGTAGCCTCCTTGCCTCTATGAGGTAATGTTTGTCCTGCCTTAAAAGCCACCATAAATTTCAGCATCTCTCTCTCTGTCTCTCTGTCTCTCTGTCTCTCTGTCTCTCTGTCTCTCTATCTTTCTTCCTCCCTTCTTCCCTCCATCCCTCTTTGCCCTCTGTGTATGTGTGTGTCAGAGAGACAGAGACAAAGAGACACAGAGACAGAGAATGTGGTATGGAGGTCACAAGGCCACTTGTAGGAAATAATTGTCTCTTTTGACAC